CCCTGCTCGGAATGAGTCTGGCGGCGGGGTCGCGCGGGTCGCGTCCCCGGCCAAGAGCAGCGAGGCTGAGCAGGGTCTCAAAGTCGCATCAGCCAGGCTCCAGCCGCTGCAACCTCCCCCCCCCCTCCGGCGCGCAATTTTATTTCCAGCGGGACAGCTTTAGTCTGGCCGAGGTCTCGGCATTGCCCCGGCTTAACTTTGCCGTCATGGAGTAAAAATTGCCGTGTGCCATGTTGGCGGTCTCGCCGCGCCGTCGGTGTTTTTCTCTTTTTTTTTCGAGGTTCCTTTTTTTAACCCTCCGAGTGCCCGCGGCCCCGTTCGGCAGGGCCCGGTTCGCATTACGCGGGAGGCCGGCGGGAGGGCTGGCTGGGCCGGCTGGGCTGGGCTAGGCAGGGCTATGGCCGTGACGGCCAACAGGTGCTTCATTGACTTCGTTACGGCCGACAAATGAACGTGATGCCGAGATGATTGGCCTCGACGGGCGTGTAGTGGAGTGGCGCGGTCCCGGGAAAAGGGGAGGGGGTAGTAGCAGTTCGGCGTGGGCGGCGCGAGCAATCCTCTTGGATTCGCAGTCCATCGAGCGCCTGGGGCGGCCTGCCGGCCTGCGTGCTGAGGGCGACCGCCGGCCCCGCACTCCGTTGTCGCCAAAAAGCTTTATATTGAATTACAAAAGCAGCAGGCCGGCGCCGCGGTAGACGGGCCGTGCCGTGCCGTGCCGGCGGGGTGCAGCGCCCGCTCCAGAAAGGCCCGAGTGTCGGCAGCGGGGCGGAACGCCGAACGAGAATCAATCCGATACTGCGCGACGTCGTGATGGCTTGTCGCGCTGCCCTGCCGACAAGGCCTCGCCACGGCCTCGCCGACGTGGCCTCCATCCAGGTCGCCGTCATCGGCATCGGCATCGACAGGCTGCCATCGACACGGCCCATGTAACGGCCGAGGCACGCCGCGCTTAAACCTTTGCCGCGAGGGTCGGAGGAGAGAGGAGCCTCCGCGTGCCCCCGGCTGCTTTACACTCCACTCGGGCCGCGCGCTGCTCTCTGCAATTTAATCACTCAGTCACACACGCGCGCGCGCTCACACACCCACAAACACACCAGCGAACGCGCGGCCCTCTTCTTTTTATTAATTAGGTAATTAATTAATTAATGGCCGGTGAAAGACCGCGGCCCCGCCTCGCCGCTCCTTTTAATTCGCGTCTCAAACGGCTCCAATTTTAATTAATGGAATTAATGCGAGGAGGTTGGTTGTTTTCGCAAGTGTCGCTGTGGCGCCTCGTGCATTCCGCGAGGCGACGGGTCTATCATGACCTACCTCGTGTTTGATCTGCCCATTTCATTAGTTCTGACGCGTCGCTCTCGGCCGACATCGGAATCCAGTCTTCAGAATCCAGACTCCTGCCAATTCAATCCTTTTTTCACTGGTCAACCTGGCGGGGCTTGGTACAGTAGTTAAAACTGCATTTACACTCGGGGCGGGTAGCGTCAGGAAGAGGGCGGTAACGCGAGAAAGTCCAGCCAGCCTCCGACGCGTCGGGATGTGGCTGGGAGTGGCACGACTGTCGGCGTCTGGGGGGTGGGGTAGTTTCTCGGATAGTTTGGCGGGACACGGCACCGCGCACCGCAGACCGCACGACCAACCGGTGGCGACTGGAGGCTGGCTGGCGTGTGGAGGGTGCATCGCAGCGCGTAGACCGAGGCGCAGACCGAGGCGTAGACCCGGCCGCTCACTAAAATATGTAAAACGGGCCGGTATTTCGGCACTTTGATCCGCGCGCGGCGTGCGGCGTGACGAGCGCGCAAAGGGACACGCCAGGTGAGGGTGTCGCTGGACACGCCATGAGTATGCATTTATGTAAACCGGAGCCCGCCTGCCGTCGGACGCCACAGCGAACAAAACGGACAAGGTTAGGTTCTCCGCGGACCACCGCTGCACGGTGGGCCGGAAGACCAGCGAGCGAGTGTGACCTCACCAATGGATTCCTTGTTCGGAGAGCAATCCATTGGTGGGGTCACACTCTCTGTTCGAGTCCCATTTAGCGACTCTGGAGCTCAAAACGCGTCCGGAATTGTGACCGCCTGCAACGGTCTTCTGGCCCACTGTGGACTGGCGTGTGCGACGGCCGGGCGACGCGGTGACTGGTGGGTGCCGAGCAGCACGGCGACTGATCGGAAAACGCCCGAGGTGCGGCCTCGGGCAGGCCGGCCTGGCGCGCGTCCCGCGCGTCAGTGTGAGTGCGTCCTTGTGTGCGAGATTCAATGGCCGGATTGGCCGGCGGGGAGCATCCTCGACACGATGTTGGAAATATCCGGCTCTATATGGGCGAGGCGGGGGAAAGCCTCAAACTGCCCTAGGTTCCACGTTGGTTCCGAGTCCCATTAAAATAATGCATAATTCATGGGGCATTATACGTGTGTAAAAGAGCAGGCAGGCACAAAGAAAGCACAGCGGGAGGGAGAGAGAGAGCGCGAGAGAGGCAGTGTGTCGTCACGCGGCGAGTGAAATGGATCAGAAACCGAACCGCCGTCATCGGATGCGCCAGGCCGTTCGGCGAGGCGCTCGACGGCGAAGTATCGCCGTGTTGCCGGCACTGTAGGTGTCTCGCCTCGGCCCTCGTTGTTTGGAGCGGTGGGGGTGACTGTGGCAGATCAGTCAGCACGTCGCCGCGTAGTCCGCAGCCAGGGTCGCGGTGCCCGGCTGGCCCGGCGGGGCCCGCGTCGACGGCCGGGCTCCATTTGCATTCCTGATGAGCCGCTCGCCGCGCTCGGCGCAAGACGAGTTGACAAGCGGCGAGAGAGTAGCGTCACTTTCGGCCGTCGCCGCCACGGCTTCGGACACGGCCTCGGACACCGCCGGTGGGAACGCCGGACACGCGGTCTGGAGTCGCGCTGCGGCCCCTGGGGAGCGACAGAGCATCGCAGTGTGGTGGCTTCGAGGCGCGCGTTTTGCTCCCCGCCACTGCACTGTCGGCCCGCAAATTGTATTCGGCAGCGCCGACGCCGCGACGCCGCGACGCACCCAGCCGGTAATCGAGTCAAGAGCAGTCGGGAGTGTCTCGCCGCTCGCCGCCCTGCCGCGGGGACCGCGAGGCTGCATCACAACACAGACTTGAATAGAAAGGCCGCCATCGACCAGCAGAGAGAGAGAGAGAGAGAGAGAGAGAGAGAGAGAGAGAGAGAGAGAGAGAGAGAGAGAGAGAGAGAGAGAGAGAGAGAGAGAGAAGAACGCACACGCGACGTATTTACTCCATTTATTTTCCACAGTCCTCTTCGTCGCCACTACACTTCGACCTCGCTGCCTCGCTTTGAGGAGCGCCTCTCGGCGCCTCTGCCGCGCCGAGGCCAGGCCTGGAGGCTGCGGACACAATAGCGCGTGAAATGCGCCAAAGTGACGCGCGTAATTTTCCCTGCACTCTCAGCGGCCGGGCGAAAAAACAATAAAAATGAAGGGCGGGACTCGGGCGGAATGAACAAACAAAAGAAGCCAACTGTGCCGGAGAGGGGCGGCGTGGCGGCATTCAGGCCGATGGCGGCCGATGGCGGCCGATGGCGGCGTGGCGGCCGTCGCGCACCAGGAAGTGCGTTCCGAACGGCCAAACAAAGCGGGTGCTTGCCGAGGTGCGTCGCGGCCGCCTCATCAACGGCCCGCCCAGGCAGTCACCAACTTGGGCGAAACCGAGGCGAAACCCAGGACGACCCGTAGTCCCTGTCGCTGTCTCTCTCGGTCTCACACGGGACGCCCCACGAGTGCGAGAGAGACAGAGAGACGAAAAGGGCCCTCGGAATCAGTCTACAGGGCCCGCTCCACCTCGCGCCCAGATAACGAGCTGCGCTGTCGGGCCGCGGGGGGGGGGGGCGTCCCCTTTTGTTATTGCGGGTGCGAGATGGGCGCGGTGCAGGCGACGGGGCGGCAGGGCGGTGTGCAGTGCTGGGCAGGCCCTTCGCAGTCCGAGCCTTTTATCCAGACTCAGTCGCTTTGAGCGGCGCCGCCACCGCGCTGGAGGGGGAGGGGTCCACTCGACGGCCACAGCGGGGGAGCCGCGGGGCAGGCTGCGACTTGGCCCCCGCTATAACAGACCGCCGCGAACCGTTTGGTGTTAAAGCACAGCGTGTCCCGCTGTGGCGCGCTGTGCCGCTGTGGCGCTGCAGCCTGCAGTCCCCGCGGGCCGCTGGTTTGGCTTGGGGCTGCAGCGCTGCCAGGCCGCGCCAGGCCGGCCCAGCGACCCGCGGGGAGCCTGGAGCCATAATTAAGCGGCGGGGTGTTGTCCGACTTGTTTTTTGCGGTGTGGGCGGACACTGCGCGATCAGCGCGTAGCGATATTGCTGCATCGGCGCGGGACCGGCCTCGGCCTGGGTCGGGGCCGTCGGGCCCGTCGGGCCGGCGGGGCCTTGGCGGGGCCGCCTCCCTCCGGCCCGTGTTGTTGGCGCTGCCAGCCGGCCGAGTCTGTCTCTCTCACAGGCGGGGCGCCCCGTGCGAGTGCGAGAGAGACACGGCGGCAAAGCACTGCTCGGCATGGGGCTGCAGACCCCGGCGCTGCCCGGCGCTGCCGGGGGTCGTTTCCAAATTCCCAGTGCAGGGGGAGGGTCTGGGCTGCTTCCAGCAGCTTCCAGCTTTCCAGCGGGGCTTCCAGCGGCTTCCAGTGTGCTGCCACCTCGCCAACTCACTTGCTGACTGGTCTCCGAGGCGCAATCGCGGCCCTGGGCGTGGCCGGCGTGGCCGGCGTGGCCGTGCCCGGCGCGGACGCGGACCCCGCCGACGAGCGCCGTCACCGCAACTTGGACCCCGCCGATTGCGGATCGGAGTGCGGTTTCGTGTAATGTGAATTACTTTCGCAGCGCGAAATTAAACCCCCACCCGCCCCGCCCCGCCCCGCCCCGGGTGATGATGAGTGTGCGGAATGGTGGACCGCAAAGAGCCCCGAGGGAGTCCAACTTTGATATCCGGACACATGTACGCCGCGGTCATAATGGTTTACTGAGTGTTTCCGTCTCTGTCTGTTGCAGGCCTGCCCGGCGCGGTGTCGCTCAAGAACGTCCGCATGCGCGTGGTGCCCGCCGCCGTGGAGGCCGGCCGGCCCGCCACCGTGCTCTGCGAGTACGACCTGGAGAACTCGGGGCTGTACTCGGTCAAGTTCTACCGCGGCACCCACGAGTTCTACCGCTACTCGGCCGCCGACGAGCCCCACACCAAGGTGTTCCCCTTCCCGCAGGGCCTGCCCTCCAGCCCAGTCAACGTGAGTACCGAGTCAACCCTCTGCGCTTTGGCGCCGTTGCACAGGGCCAGAAGGCCGGTGGAGGCGGACAAAACTCGAGACGCGTTTTGAGTTCCAGTAGTCACTAAACAAGACTCGAACCGAACATGTGACCCCACCAATGGATTCCTCGTTCGAAGAGCAATCCTTTGGTGGGGTCGCACGCTCGGTTCGAGTCTTGTTTAGCGACTCTGGAACTCAAAAGGCGTCTAGAGTTTTGTCCGACCGGCCTTCTGGCCCACTGTGCGTTTGTCAAGTGAAGCGGGACGCAGCCTCACTCTGCGGGCAACGTCCTCGAGGTGTTGGGATAAACAAACCCCGCGGCGTTCTGGAAAGAGAGGAGATTGCACCCAGCTCACTGGAACGACTGAAACGTTTAAAGCGACTGAAACGACTAAACGACCAAAAAGACTATTATCGACGCCGCCTCAGTGAAGACGCTGCGTCCCTCTCTCTCGCTCCGCGCTCCCGGTAATTAGTTGCCCTCTGCCGCACCACTGCTCGCTGTTTTGGCGCGAATAATTCAAACATTCAAACGCAGCAAAGACAAACACTGCGCTCGGATTCCGTACCTGTCGGGGGTAATCGGGCGTGTGTTGGGGTTGGCGGTGGGTCGGGGTGCCGCCCGCCACGGCCGCCATGGCCGCCATGGCCGCCATGCATGACAAACCAAGTTCCTCGGACTCCATTCTGCGCCAAGTTTTCACATCATCACCTGGCGGGCGGCAGACACGACACAGTCGCCAGGGGCCTCAGAGGACGGTGAAAGCGACGGAGAGAGGGGGGAGAGGGGAGGGAGGGAGAGGGGGAGGGAAAGTGGCGGTGGCGCTGTACGGCCAATAAGCCATTCTCTTTTCGCCCGCTCTCTTTTCGGTCGGATAGTGACACTGCTGGAGGTCAGGCACGCGTGTATAGGCGCTCCGGGACCCGGGGTCACGACCCTCTCTCGCTCTCTCTCTCTCTCTCTCTCTCTCTCTCTCTCTCTCTCTCTCTCTCTCTCTCTCTCTCTCTCTCTTTCCCTCTTCTTTCGTCCTTCCCCTCTCTCTCGCCCGCGCTCTTTTTCGTCCTCGCTATTTATCTGGGCCGCCTCATGCGGCTCGGGCTGAAGAAGGTATCGGTGCCGTGGCGTGCTAAGTCCCCCTCCTCGAGCGCGCTGTTCTTGTCTGCGCCGGGGAGTCGGGGACTGATCCCACGCACGGCAGGGCCGCTCCGCGCCGCTCTCGAGGTATCGCGGCAGCGCCACTCTCGAGATATCGCGCGCCTAAATCGCTGTATCAGATGCGAGGCCGGGGAAAGGGTTATGGGCGAGGGCCTCGACGGGCCTATCCCTGGCCTGGCCACGCGACGCGCGGTGGGGGGAGTGACAGCGGCAGAGAGAGGGGGAGAGAGGCGGGACAGGGAGAGAGAGAGACAGAGGGAGGAAGAAAGAGGCAACAACCGACGGCTTGCAACATGTGTATCTCTCCGTCTCCCCAATTAACTCCCGACTCCGCCTTGGACCCCGTGCGCCAGGCAGCCAGGCAGCCAGGCACTGCGCCTTGTGCCGTGATTATCGCTGCTCCTATTAACCCCTCCGACGCCGCGCTCGGGTCTGGGGCGGCGGGGCTGGGGCGCGGCGCGACGGGGTGCGGCGGGGCGCGGCGGGGCGAGATTAAAAACACGTCTTGCTGCTGTTTCCTCGTCGTCCAAAGGAAAGGGAGGGCCAAGACCTCGGTATGCGACGAGAGGGACAAAGAGAAAGGGAGAGAGAGAGTGAGAGTGAAAGCCCGGGGAGAGGCTTGAAAATTGTTTACAGTTTAATTAACCAGCCGACATAGTTTTGGGCCGTTCCGCAGACAAGATGGGGTGAGGGCCGAAAAACGTGGCGGGCCGGCTTATCGTTTATTTGCCTATCGTCGCGCGGTTGGGTAATGGGGGGGGGCTACTGTGGGTATGTGTTTGGGAGAGAGAGAGAGAGAGAGAGAGAGAGAGAGAGAGAGAGAGAGAGAGAGAGAGTAGGGCGGTGAGCTGTCGCTGGAATGAAGGATGGAAGCGTTTGGGATGGAGGCTGGTGATGGGGAAAAGGGGGGGAGCTGCTTCCTCGCTGCTCATTCATTACGTGCGTGGCAAACTTTTGCAGAGTTATAGGGCCGTGATACGCCGCCTATCGCCGTGCAATACAGAGTCCGAGCGAAGTGGCGGGGCGTGGCGGGGCGCGGTGGGGCGAGGCATTAAGGAGAGGGAAGAGAAAGAGATTTAAGGTCATCGACCGCCACGGACCGGCTCCGCTTCTTTGCTCGTTCGACGCCATTATTTATTGCCGCCTGATTCTTCCGATTCGCGCGGAAACCTAAAGAAAGTTGGGCCCGCCGCGCCCCGCCACGCCCCGGCGGCCAGGCACGCGGAAGGGGTGAGCCGGGGTGAGCCTACATCGGGCCGATAGGCCGATAGCATCGCGATGGCTCAGTCGTTAGTTGGGCAACTCTGCCGAAATAAAGGCAGATGCCGGCAGAGATTGGGCGGCTCGGCCCGGCCGGCCTCGGCCGTCGTGGATCACTCCGTGGACCACTACAGTGCCGCCGTCCTAGGCCGGCCGCAGGTGGAGCCGCCGGGCCGTCACCGCCAAGCCGTCAGCCGTCCCTGCCGCCCGGCCAGCCAGCGCCCCTGCCAACGGCGGCATAGGCAGCGCGCTCAACACCAGCGTCCGGCGGGTTGCCTACGCCGCGGTCGGCAGGCGCCTGGGCGCGCCTGGCGCGGCGAACCACGAATTAAACAGCGAGCTCCACGGCGCCACAGGCCGGCACCGCCCGGCACCGCCTCACGAAGAATCGCGGGGCAGCGAAACAAAGTAATGGCATGGAAATCCCCCGAGTGTGACGACCGCGGGCCGCTCGAGGCTAGGTCAGGGAGGGCAGTGCCGTGGCGCCCGGCCCGGCCAGGCCGTCCTTCCTGCGGCCCTAGTCCCCGTGTGCCCCGCGTGCCCCCCGTGGGGCCCCCCGGCGGAGGGCACAGGTGCGCAGACGGCGCGCGGGCGGCGGGCTTACCTCGCGGTGTTGTGTTGGTGCTATTAGGCTGCCGCCTCGATGGCGCGCCGTGCCGTGCCGTGCCGGGCAGGCCTCTCCCTCATTGCAAGTCGCTCCCCCGCATTGAATATCAGAGCAAAACAAAGCCTGCGGCTCGTTCCCCTTTGTTTCAATCGGCGTTATGTTGGGGATATGCCGATTGAGGGGCCATTGAATCGGAAAAACTGGTCGCCTATGGTCGCCCCGTTCGGAAGAACCCCGCGCGGACGATGATCAGGTGTGCACCGATTTTATACGTTTTAATTATCAAAATCTCAATTAGTTTAAATAAATATGAGTAAAAAAGATTTAAAAATCATTGAAACAACCCGGGAGAGAGCGCCCTCTCCTCATGCCAGATCCAATGACAAAACACTGGAAAAGTAGAAACTTCATGTGAAATCCCATGAAAAAGATTCGAAAGCCTCATCATTCCCTTGAAAAGACTCCAATGAGGAAAAGCCGGCCGCCCACAGTGAGGCGAAAAGATGTGTTTCCCCCTCGGCTCTTTGATTTTGGAGTGGATCGTAATGTAGGATCGCCATTACGCTTTCATTGGCCGCGGACAGGTCGCCACGCGGCGCGCTTCCGCCCTATCGGTAGTACAGTGTGGGGCCGGCCCGGAGGCAGCCCGGGGGCAGGGCGGGTCCCGGCTGGGAATTATTTAGCAGCCGCTCTGGGAACGTGTCATGTGGGGCACGGCGCGGCACGGCACGGCGCGGTACGGCGCGGCCGGGACTCAAAGAGACACGTGCCGTCGACAACAACTGCCTCAAAGGGGGCGGTGCGGTGCGGTGGTCGCCTCAGTCTCGGGGGACGCTTTCAATTTCGCCCCCAGTTTTTCGTTCTGACGGTGAGACGGCGACGGCGTGCTCCTGCAGTGCAAAAGCCCCGCGCGCCGTCGTTGAATTTTCCCATCAGGGCCATAAACAAATTCCGGCGCGCGGCAGGTATTCGAACCCGGGTCCCTGCGGTAACTTTGGCGCTCAGGGTGCTGGCGCGCTGGCGGGGCGCGCGGCGTGCCATCAGTGTTTATCGGCCACCTCGGCAGGGCGGGGCGCGGCGGGGCGCGGCCACGCAGGGCGGCATTCCTGCAGCCTCTCCTGCACTCAGTCGCCCCCTTAACGGCGAGGGCGGCTGCAACGGGTGGCCGTGTCGCCTTGCTTACTTTTTCCACCCCACTTGTGGACCCTTCGGCCCCTCCCACCTTTCTCCCCACTTGTCCATTACCGGGTGCCGTTACCTCCGCCCTGAAATTAAATCACTGGAACGCGACCCCATTCCAAGCGGAGCCAAGCGGAGCCAAGCGGAGCGCCAGGCGAAGCGACGCGAGGCGAAGCGACCCGTGCATTGCCCGAGTTTTTCGGCGTAATCCGATCAAGCGTCCCCGCCCCGCCACGCCCCGCCACGCCGCCCAGGCGTCACAGGCCGAGGGGACAGTCGTCGTCCTGCCCCTCATGCTGGCCGGCCGGCCGACTCGTCACCAGGACCGCGCCGGGCCATTGTCTGCCTCGCCGCCTCGCCCCGCCTCCCTCGCGCAGGTTATCCAGCAGACTGATTCCGAGAGGCGTTTCCGTCGCCCTGTCTCTCTCGCACCCATGGGCCGTCCCGCAAAGGTGCGAGAGAGACAGAGCGACCACAACGAAGTCTCGGAATCAGCCCGCAGCCCCCGGCAGCAGCCCTTTACCCTTCCATTCAGCCTGCTGCTCCCTTCATTCCTTTTGCGTTGAAATAAAAGAGTTATTTTGAAAAGTTTACGCTGACGGGGGAGTAAAACCCTCCGATACCGCGGGGGCGTCTCTTCCTGTGGGGTTTTATATATTCCGCGACGGCGTGGCAGGGGGTAAAAATAGGCCGGGCGTGAGTGTGGTAGTGTGTGCAAGTGTATTATGCATGGCCGTGTTTACTCGTGTGTGTGTGTGTGTGTGCGTGTGTGTGTGCGCGCGCGCGCGCGCGCGTCTGTATGTTAGTGGAGTGTTAGTGAGGGACTGACATAAAGCACGTATAGCCGCGTGCCAGCGGGATGTCTCCAAGAATCGTTATCGTCTTTCTCTATTTTCTCGCTCTCTCTCTCTTTTTAATGACTCGAGATCTCTCCGCCCAGATGGATGAGCTATCGGGGGGCGGCTGCGCCGAGGGCTGCGCAGTCCGGCGGCGCCAGGCAGTGCGACAAGGACAAGAACAGCGCTTTCCCCAGTAATTGTCTCTCTTACTCGCCTCGCGTTTTGCAAATCGCCTCTCGTAATAGTTTTAATGAATTTCGCCCCACCTGCGTCGCCATGGCCCCGCCGCCGTAACGATGGCGGGGTCCTCGGGGTCCTCCCGGTCGCAGGCCGGCCAGTTCTGCGCTGTCTCTCTCTCACTCGGCCCGACGGAGCGCCCCACGAGCGCGAGAGAGACAGAGCTGCGAGTTTCGGAAGCAGCCCGGCAGAAGAGGAGGCCGAGGGCGGAGAGAAAACGCTCTGGAAATAAAAAGGCAATTAATTTGCGGGTATGTACGAATATGGAAATTAGCGTAGGCAGGCCGGTCCAGGCCGCCAGCCCCGCCACGCACACGGGCAAGACAAAGGCAGTCTTGGCCGGCAGCTGGCCGGGCCGCAAGTCGACTGGGGAGGGGGAGGGGAAGTAAAAAGAGCGCTAAATTCCTTCCCCCGTTTATCAAAATGTATTCAGAGAGTTCGCCGCGTCGGCAGGTCTTATTCGGGGAGTTGACAGATTGTCACCCAAGTCGAGCTGCGCGGGCTGCGCTCCCCAGACACCCCTTCCCTTCCTTCCCGCCGAGTTGTATATGAAATCGGGCGCCGGCTTGCCGTGGCGCGCGGGCCGTGGGGGCGGGGAGGGGGCGGGGCCCGCGGGGCACGACTGGGTCGCGGTTAGGACGGGCTGGTTTCCCTTTGATTTAAACATGTCACAGCACGGCTCTGGGAAAGGCCGCGGCGCGGCGCCGCCACGCCGCTGAGGCGGTCGCCGACGCCGACGTGGCGACGCGACGGCGCCCCCGTGAGAGCAGCGGGGCAGGCAGCGCAGGTTCGCAGGCGGAAATATGCTGCCGGCACCTGGCTCAATATTTCCCGTCGTGCCTCTTTCATCACCGTCAGCAAACTAACCGCGACCCCCAGCGCGGCGCTGCCTCCCTGCAGTGCGGCGCGGCGAGACGCGACGCCCCGGCGGCTGGCAGGCCGTGGCCTCGGCCGCGGCAGGCACCCCGGCGGTGTCCTGCCCGCACCGCCAAGGCACTCAGTGCCCGGCACTGGCCTCTTCAAGGGGAAGCTTCTCGGAACCCGACTGCATTCAGAAATGCATGGCGCGCTTTCATATTGCAGCAGCGATGAGTGGGTGAAACGGAGTGTGCGTGTGTGTGTTTCTGTGCGCGACGCAGCGAGCTTTGTTTGGCCAATAAAGCAATTCTCCTTTGTTTCTGTTTTTCCTCGCATGATTGCGGCTGACACAGCGGCCCGCGCCCTGCGGCTTGCGCGAGCGACAGCGGGCACGGCAGCAGGGTGGTTCGCAGGCACCGCGCTCGCACGCTCATCAAGACTGGAGGTCAATGCACTCTGGGCCGCGGGTTTACTTTTGCAATCCGGCCGCTGAAGATGTTCTCCCCCTCCTCCCTGGCGGGGCTCCCCGCGGTGACGTCCTACTCGGCGTGGCACCCCGCCGCGCCACGCCACGCACACAGCGCCGCAAGTGTCGCCGCGTGCGCAGGGCCGCGGGCGTGCTGGGACCGACTGGCGACCCAAGGGCCGCGCCCCGCACCCCGCACGCAGCCACCTTGAGGGCCTGCAGGGCCACCTTCTCGGCACGTCCTGCCGCACCGCGGCGCCTCCAAGCACCCTGAGCCAGGCCCCGACGTCGCCGCCAAGCCGCGCCGCCCTGCAACGTGGCGAAGACATCCCGGACGAGCCGCGGTGACGGCCGCGCCGACGGCCACGTCCAGGGCGTAACCGAGAGGGCGTTGCGTCGGCGGCGCACGTCCGCCGCGCTCTCGCCCTGCCTCTCTCGCGCCCACGGGGCGGTGCGGGGCCGACCGCAAGGGTGCGAGAGAGGCAGGGCGACGGAACGAGTGGCCGGCCGCCCCGGCCGCTCGACGTCGCGAAAGGTCGCAGGGCCGCCGCAGGGCCCGGAGGCCAGAGCCGGAGGGCGTAAAGCGTGAAAAGTCGGCCGCGTGCCGCAGCGTGCCGCGTGCACAAAAGGGCCTCGATCCGGCAACTTTGCTCGCCCTGTCCCTTCCCTTCCCTTCCCTCGCCGCGCCGAGACGCAGAAACGAAAATAAAGGGAAAGGCATAAAGGCGGAGGCTGCGACCGCGGCGGCCGCGCGTGGTTGGAAGGGCGGGGCGCGGCGGGGCGCCGGGACTGTGTCGCCGAGCGAGGCAGCATAATTCGAATAAAATGGAGGTACATCAATAAACGATTACTGCACGCTGCGGGTGAGGGGGCGAGGGGCGCCAAGCACCGCCAAGTGGGGCGACAAATCGTGGCGCGGATTGTGTATGGAGTCAACCTCCCTGGAAGCCTAGAAGCCCCCGCAGTGCTGGAATGGAGGGAGGATGGGGAGGGGCGCCTTGGAGATGTGTGGTCGCGTGTCGGGGATGCGGGCGCCGAGGCCCGCCGGCCCGGCCCGGCCCCGCGCCCCGGCCGGGGAGGGTGATCGGCTGATCCAACTGGGGCGGAGCGGCAGGGTGGGGCGGGGGACCTGCTGCATGTGTATCTCCTAAGGTATCTCCGCGTGCTCCGCGCTCCGCGGCGAGTGTGTGAGTGCGAGGAAGGGGCGAGACGGTGAGAGGAGTCGGCTCGCACGGAAGAGCTTCATTCGGGAAAGAAAACTTTGAGATAAACAGGACCTTGCTCCGCGGCTGCCACTGCTGCGTTCCGCAGAGAGACGCGGCCAAGTTTACGGACAAGCTCGTGCTGTCGGCTGGTTCCTCGCGGTCTCTCTCGCACCCCGACGGAACGCCCCGTGAGTGCGAGAGAGGCAGCGCACTGTTTGGAATCGGCCCGCTGCTGTCGCCGCGTCGCTGTCGTCCCTTTCCTCGAATCGCTACTCTGGCCTTTCCCACTAAACAGAAAAATTGTATTGCACACCACTCGGAGAGGTATCGCGGAGAGACGGGGCAGGGCGGGCAGGGCCAGCGGTCTGCAGACTGATTCCGAAAGACGCTTCTGGCACCCTGCCCCTGCTGTGCGCCCCAGGAGTGCGAAAGAGACAGAGCAAGAGCTATATAAACGGTTCTCGGAATCAGTCTGCCAAGGGAAGAAAACAACGACGCGAGATTGCAATGTTTTCAGCTATTTCCCTCCATGATTTCTGGTGAGAGTTTCTCTGCTAAATAAATGGAAAATAATTCATAATTATTGGTGTTACTTTATATTCTTTAAAAAAATTTCAAAAACGTATGAAAGTATAAAAGCTTACACACTTAATAATAAAAGCACTAAGTTATCATATATAGTGAACTAAGAATGAGATGAATCACATTTTTCAAATCTCGACATTCAAGGCCAGCCACGGCAGAACTTTAGTGAAGAAAGCATTGGTCAGATTTGTTACATATTTTAGGCAGAATTTATCATTGAACTCAACAGTATCCACAAATACTTCATCAGCCTTATGGCAGTACAATGTAAAATCACAGATAGGCAATGACAAGAGCAGCATACCAAGTTGTACTTGACCTTGAAACTTGTGCTTCTTCTTCAGCTTATTTTCTTTCATACAAGGTGCAACATTGCAAATGGTGGCAGCATTATGTGTCGCCCCTTTCACTGGATTTTTGACTACCCACAACCGGTCCACTATCCCATCCTCTAATATTACACCGTCTGCACTGCACACAAGCCAAGGAGCGAGGGGGCTAATAAATACACCTGCTTGCTCAATCTTCTTTCCCGGATTCTTTTTTTCATAGCATTTCAAAGCTGCAAAGTCATACAAATTTACCTCTTTCTTGGCTTGATCAGCAAAACCATAAGGACTGAATGACCCACTTATTTTATTATTCCAATCACTTTCAGAATGTTTCTCCATATTCTCATAGTATTTGTAGAAGCCGTAGCTAATGTTTCCAGTCAGTCGTCCATACGTCAAATCAAACCAGTTCTCACTATCAGGTGTTAATGAAAAAGCATCCAAAACTTGGTCTTCATGGAATTTTACATGTTTATCATAATAATTTTTTTCTTCAGCAGTACATTTATTGTAGAGAGACTCTCCTAATTCCTGAGCCATCTTCAATATGTAACTTGGATTTCGGAGAGCTTTTTGAACGATCACAGACCTAATTAAATTCGATCCTACACCATTCCTTTCGTCAGGATTTGAGTCTGAATTGATCTTTTGTCTCACACCACTGAAGAAAATTGCAGCTTCAGATTCTGGATGGGCTGTAATTTTTAAAAAATTATGTCAGAGGATGTGTCTGTGCACAGTGCCAAACAAGCCGACAAAGTAAATAAAAATTTGGTGCAAATAAAAACTAAGTACATACCTTCCAATAACCTTTTTCTAAATTCTTCCTTAAGTTCCTCAGGAATTTCCTCTAAAACGGGACGGCGGTTTAGAGACTCTGGCTCCCCAAAGTGACAAAACTCAGCCAAAGGGACGTCCTCCAACTCACTCATGGTCTTCTCTGGGAGTCCTCCCAAACACTCTTCCATGTCAGAGCATGTCACTGTTTCCAGTGTCGATTTGTCGTTCCTAAATCAAAAAATTGTGGTTGAAATTACTGTTTAATACATTCTAACCACCAAATGAGGCCGAAATGAGTATAAGGATTCTAACCTCTCTAGGTATATTAGGCATGCCATAGCATGTTTACAGCAACGTGCTTTTGATGATCCAGACGAACAGGAGCAACTAATAGAGAGTATCTTCTCCTCCACTTTCACTTTGGCTGAAGTTTGTACGCAGATATTAATTTTATGTGGCGGTTCGCTGATCTTGGTTGGACTCACGTACAGCGCCTCCACGGTCACCTCCTTTGCAGTTTTCGCGGCGATTCCTACCACCACGAGGTTTGTCAGGGCTTCACGAGCTTCTTTTAAAGGCCTTCCGAATCCTCGGAAGGCGTCAAAAATATGTTCCAGCTCAATCAACGGCTTCATTGTATCAAAATAGACTGGAAAGTGCTGGAAAGTACTGTCCGCCTGAGAAGTTGCCGTCGCGTCGCGGATATGGTAGTTCGCGCGCCTGCCGCGCGCGGCGCTGTGGTAGTGGTAGCTATTTGGAACCTCGAAATTCCCGCCAAAACGCGCCTGGGACCGCCGCCGGTAACGCGTAACTGTAACCGTAACTGCGGCCGTAATGCCGTAACGCCAACAACGCGACCGGTGCTAGCTCTTGCGGAGGGAGTGAGCTCGGCGGACTGGAAACGCTAAACGGTTCAAGGCTGAGGCTGAGGCTGCCGCGGCCGCGCGGACGCTTGGCCTCCTTGGCCTAGTGCGCAGCCTTGGCGGCGATGCCTTGGCGGCGAGGCCCCGAACCAAACTAAAGGCGCTAAGCACACTTCGGACTTGCGCCATTACGCGAATGAGCACGCTGTGCGCACGCGGCGCGCGTCCATGCCGACGACGGCCAAGTAATTCATAAATAAGACGCGTTGACACTGTTCGTCATTAGCATTGTTGGCGGGGCAAAGAGATCCACTCTGGCGCTGGTCTGCCCTGCACGGCTCTGCTCTGCCCGGGGCTGCCGAGTAACAATCAAGCCGCAACTTAATGAGCAAATACCCGGCAGAGCGCGGCAGCGCGCGGCAGTGCCGCGTGCAATAATCCGAGGAGCCGCGAGTAGCGCGGCGAGCACCGCGAGCACCACGAGCACCGCCCCCAAATAAATAGGAATAAATTAGGCACCGCCCGCGGCGCCAACTTGCCGCCTTTCAGCGCCGCCAGCGCCTCCCCTTGCCGGCGCCACCAACCCCGGCCCGCGCGGTTACCGTATTCTGGTTCAGAAAAGGAAAAATCCAAAATAAAAGAAACAACCGTGAGTTGTGAAGTTTCATCGGAGCGGATTGGATCGGCGATGCTTCCATGTTCACCCCGCAAACGGAGCGCTCCAGTTTTCCTCCTCGCGGTCGTACAATTTGTCCCGCAGCACGCGGTACATACGCACGCCCTGGATGGGGCGGGGCGGGGCGGGGTGGGGCGGGGTGGCTGTCGTTAGTTTAATGTAGCCTCGAGCCGCTGTTTAATGGCTTTCACCCACTGAGGCGAGGGCGTCCCCCAAAGCAGACACGCAGCTCTGCGGATGGTAGTCATAGTTGCATTCGTAAATATTCCGTCAAAACGCTGTCTCTAACTCATGTAAATTTTTGTAACCTATTTCTGATTTGTTTATGCCAGAAAATAGAAAATCCCAAAATAACGACGGCGTGCAGCTCGCCGCGCTTTCCGCATACTTTCCGTATCGGCGTCCTCTCTGCATGCCGGACCTTTTATTGAGCCACTCGTGCCTGCTCTCGACGCTCTCGACGCGGCGGACACGGCGAGGAGGCGGCACGGACGGCCAGCATGTTGCAAGCGCAGCAAGCCGTGCGAGCCGTGCGAGCCGTGCAGGCCCTGCAGCAGCACGGCCTCCACGAGCGACGACAGCTGAAGAAACTCTCTGTCGCCGAAGCCAGCTGGAGCGGCCCGGGTGTAGTCAGGGTTGCCTATCCTGTGTTTGGCGGGCGGGCCCCGCGCGGCGCCAGAGGTGTAGGCAGGGTTGCCTATCCTGTGTTTAGCGGGCGGCCGCCGCGCGGTGTGTGTGCTTCTGGTTTCCAGGCTGTTTCCTGCCAGTGGAGCGCGTGAAGGCACCGGAGGCGGCCGCGGCGACACGAGGCTTGTGGTGCACCACGCCACGCGGACGCCCTGCCGCTTTGTCCGCGCACTTGGACCGCAACGCCACGGTGCGGAGCGCGGCGGCCTTTCTTCTGGGGCTGGGCCTTCCCTTCCAGGCCTTCCAGGGTGCATCCCGGGGATTGCGTCACCATGGCAACGCCAGGCAACGCCGGCGGGGAACCGCACGGCTGGCTCGGCGGGTAGAGCGGCCAGGGCATTATGCCGAACGTGCCTGGCAGAGCTGCCAGCGGTGGCGGCGGGCGATACGGGGAGTTCCAACCGACTCGCAGCCTCGCAGCGCAGCGCTGCGCCAATTGTGAACGCAGACGGGGCGGGGCGGGGCGGGGCGCGGTGGGCGAATCAGGCGGAGCTATTATTCGAACTGACAGACTGGCCGCCCCCCCGGGCCGGCCCAAACCGCGGCGCCCAGCCCGGCGTGGCGGCGTGGCCGTGGAGTGCCACAGCGAGTTCCCTTGTTGGTGGATCGGGAGAGCAAAGCGTGCAAAGCAGTGCAGCAGAGAGACGAGCAGAGAGCATTGCGTTGTTCCTGCACTGGCTATGCACTGGCTCCAGGTACCGGCAGGCAGCGGCGCGTGTAGTGCGCGCTCCACGCACGGAGCCCATCACGCTGCCTCCTGCCTTCCACGCTTCCACACTGCGGAGCGCGGCGGAGTCCACACAGCACCGCCCAGCACACGGCCAAGGACGCCCAATGCTCGCCAGCAACAAGGTGCCCGCGGGGCTGTGCCAGGCTGTGCGCTGTAAACATCGGTGCCGTTGTCTGCATGCGTGGCGTCGTCAAGATGGCCTTGTGTTTGGCCACGGCCACGCCACGGCACGCCACGGCAGCAGGCTAGGCTAGCAAACAGCGGGACGGCGACGGTGACGCATCCATCCACCTGCCCTGCCCGCACCGATGGGGCCGCGGCGGTTTATCTAAACAACCACCCGAAAATAAATAAAAAGAAGGGAAGAACGAGAGAGAATAAAAATAGAGCCCCGCTGCTGCCGTGCCTCGCTGGCTCGGCGTTTTCCAACTTGAAACAAAACAAACAGCGCCGCTCCGCTTGGCTCTGCCTGCCTGCCGGTCGGGCCGCGTGGCCTGTACAGCGCCGGGGCCTTCAGGGCCTCGAGTGGAGCACTCCTGCGGCAGACTGGGGCGCAGCGTGCAGCGCGCAGCCAGGACGGCCGGGACGACGGAGTGCTTGGTGACGGCGCGGCGCGCTACCTCCACCGGGCGTGCCATGCCAATTTCCGGTGTGGCCACGGAGAGGACGGGGACCGCGGCGGTGACCGCGGTGCACGCAATGGCTCCAATCAGTGGCGGGTGCAAACGGCGAGGTCCCTCCCCTCCCCCACCCCCTAACAAGGGCCGCTTAGCAGCCAGCCCCGCAGTGCTGACCCGGGCCCGAGGAGGGCCGCCTGTATGCTGGCCTGGCACTACGGCGCTGGCTCGCTGGCTGTGTCCGGGGCTGTGTCCGGGGCTGTGTCCGGGGCCCCCGAGGGGCCGAGGCGGTGGCCTTCCCCGGGCCGGGCAGACCACCTCCCGAGAGTAGCGGACGGTCCTGCCGGCCCCGGGCCCCATATGTGTCGAAGGCCACTCAAGACCAGGTGCGCGCTGCAGAGCAGGGCCGAGCAGGGCAGGTCGCCGCCTGCGGAGGTGGCGGTGTGGGAGGGGGAGGCCCTGGAGGTCCGCGACGAGGGGCCGCCGCTTTTTCGCCGCCCCTCCCGCGAGTCCTTTTATTACCGCCAGTCAAATGACTGTTCCCGCGGACGACCTCATCTCGACTGGAGAGCCCTGCGAAGGGCGAAGAGGGAGGGGAGGGGGCAAGGTCGAATCAGGTGTGGTGCAGGTGTCCACTGGGACGGCATTGCGCCCCGCCCCGCGTCTAAATGTTTGCGACGAGTGCGAGGCTGCGAGGCCGATGTCACAGACGTGTCCCCTCTCCGTAAAGGACGGCCAAGGCGCTGGCAGAGCAGCGTTCCGTATTTCCTTGCCGAACTCGATTAATCGACTGCTCCGAACGAGAAACCCCTTGTTCGATTATTGGAGTCTCCTAACGTGTCTGAAGTGAAACTAGACTGCAGTGTGGCGCGCCTCGCCACACCGCCACCTTGGCTCTGCCGGCTTTGCGGCTACCAAGACGCCACTTCGCACGACAAGCAATTTGCCTGCGAACAAAAAGACGGCGCGTGTTTTTACTTCCGCGGTCCCCGTTGCGTTCCCCACACTGTAATGGCGCCACCTCCGCAGAGTACCGCAGGGTAGGTCAGGCACAGGCTGCTGGGGCTCCGTGGGGCCAGTGGGGCCTTCCCCTCCGGGCCCCGCCTGGCCTGGCCGGGCCGTCTCGGGGGCCACATCCAGCGTCTCATAACTCACGTGTTGGGGTCTCCGAGTCTCCGCGAACGGGGTCGGGGAGGGGGGGGGGGCGCTCCAGTGTATTAGCCATGCACCCCGCGCGGGCCCCGCAGTAAATCGACGACGCCGCGACCACGGAGAGGGGCAGGGCGGGGCAGGGCGGGGCGCGCGTCGGCCGCCTTGTCGAACAGCCAGGCATAGAAACAGCGACCGCCGCTCCGTCATCCACCTCAAGGAAATGGACCTCGAGGCCGGCGTGGTGGGGCGGCGACGACGGCGAAGGAGGCCAGGGCCGAGGCCGGGCCTCGGACGGGCGGCACGGCACCGGGGCCGTCGCCGTGGATGGCAGCAAAATATCAATGAGGCCGTGATCAGAAAATTGGAGTTTTCGTCGGCGGTGCAAGCTGCCGCAGCTGCCGCCGGGTGGGGCTTCGGCCAGGGAGGCTGCCGTTACGGTGGCGTGGCCGTGCCCGCCGTGCCCTGCTGTGGGCTAGTAGTGGAAAGTGGCGGCCACACGCAGCGCGCTCATCCCGAACAGTGCTTTCGACGCTGTCTTGCTCGCTCTCGTCGGGCGGCCCGTCCGGGTGCGAGAGAGACGGCGACGAGCGGAGGCCTGCAGCACGCACGTCCCTTCGCCGCGGCACGCCGGCACGCCACTTCCCGACCTTCTCCAGTGACCGTGTCCACGGTGCCGACGCTCGTTGCGAGCAGTCTCCGTCTCTCTCGCATCCCCACGGGCCGCCACGGGGCTCCCCGTGTGCGCGAGGACAGAGCGGCGAAACACTGTTGTGAATCGACCTGGCTGGCTGGCTGGTAGGGCTGGGCTGGGCTGGGTCTGCCTCCAAGTCGGCGTAATTCGGTCGCGGCGGTGCTATCTGCCGCCTTGCTGCCGCGGGCACCGTACAACGGCCACAATCAGTCCGTCCATCAAAACGAATTAGTCTTCTGCTCGGCCGGGCTGGCCTAGGCTGGCCTGGGCATCGATGTGACTCGCTCCCCACGGGAAGTTCTCGTGCTGTTCCTACACTCGCATTGGTGGTCGTGAAGACTGCCCCCAAACCAAGGCGGGGCATCACAGTAAAAGACAGTCCAAAGGAAAGCATCAAAGAATACTGCCCCGTCGAGTAGACGCAGTGCCCGCCCAAAGTCAACCCAAACCACGATTTTTACGCATTTGTCGACAGAGAGAATCTCTTTTTCCCAGTTAAAGTCTCATTGATAGCAAGGTTAATGCTGTATTCTCCTCAATAGAGGCCCAAATTAAGGACGCCCTTCCCCCTTCATTTCGTCCCTGTACCGAATAGCGGTCGTCCCTGGGCACTCCATTCGCCCCTCTCTCTCCCTTCACACACACAGGCACTCTCACACTACCGCACCGGCACGTGAGAGATTTAACGTCCTTGGGCTCCGGGGTGTGCCCGGCCCGTCCCGTCCGGTCCGGTGTGCGACCCGGTACAGATGAGCTGTTGATACAAGCCTGTAGACGTGTCAAATCCCAGCGGGCAGTGTCTCGCAGTGAGCCCGGGGCTGGCCGGGCCTGCCTGCCTAGGCCCCAGGGAGCGGCGCTGGCCTCAGCGGGGGTTGCGGCAGGGCGAGGGGAGGAGAGACGGGGAGGGCGAGGGAGGGCGAGGGGAGGGTGGCCGAGCAGAGGGCAAACCACTTAGGGCGGGTGGCGGCGTCGCAGGCAAGGCACGGCCGCGGCACGGCGCGCCGCACGGTGACCGCCACGCGCTTTGGCCGGTATAAATCAGTGTATCAAAGCGTGACAGTTTGCCGTAAATATCCCGCCGGCCTGGCGGCCTGGAGCGCGACCGCTGATTGGTTCAGCCGGGCCCCTCTGCACTGCGAGGGGCCGGAGCAGCGCCTGGCCGGCAACACCACGGCCGTGCCGCCGCAGAGGTAGAAAATTAGCGGGAAAGTCTTTTTGAACGAGGCAAGGGTACACGCCACCCGTCCAGCAGCGCGCCGGCCTTTCATTTATTTGCCCCCTTTTTCTCTGCGGACTGTTGTAAAAATGAGTTTCTTCTTTTTCTGCGCCCCGAAACACCTTTCACTGGAATTGCACCCTGAAAGCTGCCCTCCTTCCCTTGCAGCTGCAGCGCTCCAACCAGACGCAGGTGTACCTCGGCGAGGTGTCGCCGTCCCTGGCCGGCAACCTGAGCTGCGAGGTGACGACGGACGACAACTTCGTCACCCGGATGGTCTACACCAACCTCATCGTCGCGGGTGAGTCAGCACGTACTGCATGACCACAAAACGCACTAGTTTGTTGTTGTTGTTTTTTTTTTCAGCCGTTTGGGGTTTGCAGTGCAGTGTGCGAGCCGTTGCTCTCAGAATTGTCATTCGAATCAAACTAACGCGGTGCACTGCCGCCACTGCCGGCAGCGAAAGGGGAATGGGGGGGGGGGGGCGCCTCACAAAGGACGGGCGCGAAAGGGCGCGAAAAGCGAAAGTGGAATTAGAATAATCGGATAATTAGCCCCTCGAGTCACGCTGCAATCCACTGCCGGGCGACAGGGTTAAAAAGAGAATGTCATTACTCCTCGAAAATGACAAAAAAAGAATGGGGCAGCCGGGTCGAATTTTAGACATAAATTTGCGGGGGAAGAAGAGAGCATCTGCCTGACAATGACTGCATTAGTAAGTCTGTCGAGGCTCGACTAATTCGGCCGCGCCGGCGGAGGCGGTCGGGGGAAGGGGGAGGGGGATGATGAAGTTACCGACAGCCTCCAACGGGTCGGGGAGGAGCCGGCTAGCCCGGCTCGCCGGCAAGAACACGAGATAAGACTTCTTTTTATTTGATTCCCGCGACTTGCAGGGGAAAAGTGAGGACACTCTGCGCCCTGCATCAATGAAACGAGCCGCACTCGACGGGCTGGGCCGGCCGGGCCCTTGGCCCTGGCGGGCCGCCTGGGCTGTGCACCGGCAAGGGCCGTAGGCTGGATATTATTTCAAGGACCGGGTAATCTCCCCGCTTACACACTCGTAAGCCAACAGCCAACAGCCAGCCAGCCAACCCGCCGGAAAAAAATGTTTTCCGCTCGTTTGTTCCGCCGACGGTAAAAACGCGTCATTGGAAAACTAGAACCGAAAGGCTCCAAGGTTGTACGGATTGCCCGTTTCCAGGACGGTCCTGGCCCGCTCGTCCAAGGTCTGGACTCAGTCCTTCTTGCCCTCTAGCTTTAGCCCTTTTCCGTTTCATCGCAACGTGACTCCGCGCAACGCGATCACGGCCGCGACGTGTTTGTCTGGCTGCTCGTCCTTGCCGTGCTGGGCCCCGCCAGCCTAGTGGGCCTCGCCAGCCCCGCCGCGGGGGCGGCCGCCGCTTCCGGCCCGCGACAGTTATGATGACTGAGGGCGTCCCGGACGGCGAGGCTCGCGAACATCAGTGCCGTCGTAACAGTGTCTCGCCACGCCAGCCAGCCAGCCGAGGCTGTGGCTTATCGTGTTTTCGGCCCCAAAATAATGCCGCCCAAGTTGAAGGCGGCCGGGATATTTGTTGTGTATTTTGCCCGTATTTATGGGCCAGCCACTTTCTCCGGTTGCGGCGGCGGCGGCGGTGGCGGTGGCGGTGCCTCCCGCACAGCGCCGAGCCTTATATTCGCTCGCACGTTTGCATTCAATCTGCGGGGAGTCGCCTTCAAATATTCATCCGGGGTGCGGCGCCGCGCCGGGGTGGGGAGGGCGGGGGAAGGGGTAGGTCTCGGCGGGGAGGCCAACTCGAGCGAGGCGCCGCGAGCCCCCAGCCGCCCGTGTTCGGGGGGCCGGCCGAGGCTCGGGCCGAGGGCGGCTGCAGCGCGAGACAGCGTGAGGGAGGGTACATGATGGGGCCCTAGTTTACCTCCAACAAGCGCGTTGTTGTTAACGGCCGCCAGCAACTTCGCGCCCGGTAACTTGATGCCGCTTCGCCCGCTTCGCCGCCACTTGAGGCTTCGAGCGCCGCGCCGGGCCGTCGCTCTGTCTCTCTCGCACTCCAGGGGCGGCGCGCAGGGTGCGAGAGGGACGCCACTGACCGGAACCAGCCTGCAGGCGGCGCGGCGGCTATTCCTGCCCGCAGTATTCGCACTTGGTCCGCGTGGCCGCGGGGTGGGGTGGGGTGGGGTGGGGGTGGGGGAGGCACGCCCACATTTTCGACATGAAATGGCAATGAGAATCGCTCAATCACATTTTCATCCCGCTGGTCACAATATGCGCATAAATTCATGATGACTGTCGAGGCTCGTCGCGGCGGTCGCCGGCCAGGGGGTTAAAAAAAAAGAGTGGGCGGCGGCGAGGGCGGCTCGGTGGGCGAGGCTCGAGGCCGCTGGCCGGCGGGCAGCGCTGTCGGGGGCTGGGCGGAGCACAGTGGGCCAGAAGACCGGTGGAGGCGGTCAAAATCCCGGACGGGGTTTGAGCCCCAGCCCCAGAGTCGCTCGAACCCAACGTGTGACCCCACCAATGGGTTTCTCTCCGAATGAGGAATCCATTGGTGGGGTCACACGCTCCGTTCGAGTCCTGTTTAGCGACTCTGGAGCACAAAACGTGTCTAGAGTTTTGGACGCCGGCGCCGGTCGTCTGGCCCACTGTGCGGTGCTGGCCGGTGCTGGCCGGTGCCCGGGGCCTCGCCTCGGGCCGACCTTCCCACCGCAGTACATGCACGCGTATTTACGCCCACCATTCACATAACAATGGCCTCAGGAAACACGCCCCCCCCTCCCCGGTCCATTCCACACACGCGCCCCGCGTAATCCCCCTCCCCTCAGCCTGTCCCGTGTCCGTGTCCGCCTCGCGCGTCACTTTTCCCGCTGATCGCTCCCATTTTCACTCTTCTTCAGGGCCGGCAGAATTTCCACGAGCCTCGCCAGCAAATTAGTTGTTGCTGTTTGACTTTGTCGAGAGCGCCCATACAAAGACGGCGGCAGTGGTGGGTTAGGCCGCGCAGGTAGGCAGGCAGGCTTGCCACACACAGAGCGCTGGGGAGAGAAAAAAGAGTTGATTTCTGTTTGCAGAGTGTGAATGCTCCAGAGACAGACAGGCGAGGCAGACAGGAGCAGGATAAAAAAATACTAGACCGGGAAACAGTTTGATGTTTGTGCTTGCCGTGGAGAGTAATTGAACGTGGGACGAGAATGAAGGGCGTTGGGACAGTGCAGTGTGGGGGTTGGAGAAAGAGAGAGAGAGGCACACTGTGTGAGTGCGACGTGAGGTGTGTGTGTGTGTTGTGTTCTATGTTGTGTACCGACAATGGCCCGCTATTGAGTGCCACCACACTGCGCACACCGCGCGCGTGCACTTCTGTCCAGCCAGCCAGACTGGCGTGGACTGGCGTGGACTGGCGGGGATGGCGCGCAGCGCATAGCACCACCACCCCAAGCGCAGGGCGGCACCGCCCACGGCGGCCTTTAAAGCAAACAACAAAACAACAACGAAACAACAACAAAATGTGCAGCCTTCGAGCAGGAAGGGCGTACCGCTGCACCCTCGTTATCTCCCGGCGGAGGCAAAAAAAAGCCCAGACCGCGGCGGCGGGAGTCGAACCCGCGACCAGAATGCCTTGCGCGCTAATAAATGGAATTTCCTCGCCGCGCCTACGCTCTAATATCGGGGAGGTCGTTACGGGCGGCTGCCTTTGAAGTCCGCCGGCCGCGCTTCGGTTTTTAATTCGGAAGGGGTCATTATTCACCTGCCGAGCTGGCCGCGGAGTTAATAATGCTCAGGTGCGACGCCATGCCACGCCACGCCACGCCCCGCCCCGCCACGCCACGCCCCGCCCGCCACGCCACGCCACGCACGCCCCGCCACGCCGCGCCCCGCCCCACCCCGCCCCGCCACGCTCGGCCAGCAGCGGGATGCTGACCTCATCAATCAATCCGCGGTGTCCTGCCTGCCGCTGCTGCCGCTCAGGACGCGGAGGCCGCGGGACGAAGTCTCTCTCATGTGGGCGGCCCGCGTGGGTGAGGGAGAGAGACAGACCGGAGGCCGCGGCGGGGTGACGCCGCCAGCGCCGCACGCACGCCCCAACGCGGCGGCGCGGCCAGGGCAGTGCCCGGGCCGGCGGACGCCGCGGCGGACGCCCCGCGATACGGCGACCACACTGCAAACAGTGCTCCCTCCCTCTCTCTTTCTCTCGCACCTCGTACGAAACCGTACAAAACGCTTCGTAGGGAAAGAGAGAGACAGGGGTCCTCGGCGCATTGTTGCGATTCGAATCCCCCTTCCACGTCGCTCGTCGCTTCCCTCCCAAATTATTGCCGCCAACAATAATTACGGGTCAGTGAAAATGGGGGGAGGGGGAGGGGAGGCCGCCGCCGGCGGTGCGGCTGTCTGGTCCGCGGACCGTCGGACTAGACCGGCTGAGAGGAGCGGGTCCAGAGCCGGACTTGAAGACGGGCGCACTGCTTCCGAGCAGCGCTTTGGACGCGCCGTCTCTCTCGCACGCACGGGGCGCGCCGTGGCGGTGCGAGAGACACGGGGTGACGTAGCGCTGCTGTTCGCGACGCAGCGCCCTCGCCCTCGGCTCTCTTCTTCGGCCGGGCGAAGGCGAAGGCGAACTTGTCAAAGAGCTCGCTGGGCGATAAGGTGCCGGACCCACCCGCCTTGTTTATTTCGTGCAGCGGGCTGCTTTCGGACAGCGCTCGCTCTGTCTCTCTCACACCCACGGGGCGTCTCGGGGCGTGTGGTGAGGGCGCGAGAGAGACAGCGTTCGGAAGCAGCCTGCAGACGACGCGGGCCCAACTGGAGCATCTCGATGCCAGTAAGGCATGATAACGTTCGCTGCTTCGCTGCTGGCTGCGGTTGGCAGCGGTGGCGGTGTCCGCGTGTCCGCGGCGCTGACGGGGACCTCGTTCGCGCACCGCGGCGCACCGCGGCGCACCGCGGTCCCAAGTGAGCAAACCGCGGCAACGCCTGTCTCTCTCGCACTCACGGGGGGCTGGGCTCGCGGAGTGCTGTTCGGCAGCCTGATGAACACGGCGCGGCGACTCGAAGAGTTCTCGCGCTGCTCTGGAATATTGCTGCGCGGCATTCCGCGAGCCATTGCCGAGCGGGCGAGCGGTTCGCGAGGAGCTTTTCTTCGCCCTGTCTCTGTTGCGACCCTGCAGGATGCCGCATGAGTGCGAGAGAGGCAGCGCCGTGGAACGCTCCTTCGGAATTATCGCTCGGCCGGGGCGTGTTCCGGAAGACTGCACTCCGATCGCGACCCGGTCCGGTTGTCGCCGCCGCCCCGCCTCTCCGCCGCTGCAGACCGA